ATCAAGCGACGCCTAAGCATCAATCCCATATCCATTCCTTATTCTTTTCTTTTTCATTTTAATTTTTTTATTTAAAGGTCACACGATGAAGAGGGGGAGATAGGGCCTCTATCCACTACTCAGCAATTGTGCAAAGTGAGAAAGAATCTTCCACTAGAACAGGGGAAGATACACCACCATAGTTTTTGTCTCGTCTTTTTGTGCACGTGGAGAGTAGTGGAGCGAGGCCCACAGTGCCAACATACAGAAAAACAAAATGCACGGAACCGGCCCAGTGGCTTCGGGACATCTGTTAAAATTGGAACGATAAGGGTAAATTAGCAAATGGCCCCTGCGCAAGTAAGGATGACACGCATAAATCGGCAAAAGTCGGACCAACCACATACACCATCAACTCTCAGTCGATCACGATCAAGATGCGAGATGCGTCCCGGAAATGAGCGGATTAATTAAACCACCAGTACTTGGCCCAGCTATTGGCCGCGGAAAAAAAACAAAGTAGAAATTCAAAATTTTTCTAGTCGGATGAATTTGGGCCATCCTGTAGTGGCCCGTACGTTTCCTAAAATTGTGGCTTTGCAACTGGGGCTGGGAAAACGCAACCCATGTGTGGCTGCTCTGTCCGCTCTCAGAAAGGATCTGGGAATGGTGGAAAGAATTCTGGAAAAATAGTAAAATACACAGTTGGAGTCTCCTTGGGACGACGATTTCATCCTGTTTGGCGAGTTCTCTAAAAAGTCAGAGGCGGCGTCAGGTGGAATATATTCAGGCCTCTGCTGCGGAGGAATCATTATGGAAAATGGAAACAATCTGGGCCGAACGGAATGCGAAAGTGTTTAGGAATGAGGTAATCTCTTTCCAACAAACAAGGCATCAGATCAAAGCTGGCATCAGACTAGTACTATGTGCGGATTGGAAAGGCATCAGACTAGTATTATGCGCGGATTGGAATGTGATGTATGATGCATGAACAATACGAGTCCATGTTGCATGAACGGGCGGGTACTAAGTACTACTAACGCATAAGCTACTCACTCTGATCCAAGACTGTCACACAACGCGGGACAACGAGCACGGACACGAACACGAACTCTTCGACCGTTCAAAGCCATCAGTAATGACCGGGCGTTCCATTCGGGCGAGGACAGCAGTGACCACCCAGCTTCTCAATCATCTACTCTAATCCTAGACTACACTGTGTCATGCCGCAGAGTCCCATGCGGCTTTCACTCCTGCTGACGACCCCTTGAAGACCCCAACCTCGCTCGACCTCTCTCCTTGCCGACCAACCACCAGGTAAGTATATCCTCCTCCAACTCCCCCGTTCTCCACGGTTTCCTCTTTCCCAAGTACGTCCCTGTTCAGGACCACCACCTTCTTCCTTCTTGGCCCCCTATGGCTATGGTGTTCAGGACCGCCACCTTCTTCCTTCTTGGCCCCCTATGGCTATGGT